CTCTCTCTCTCTCTCTCTCTCTCTCTCTCTCTCTCTCTCTCTCTCCCCCTCCCCTAACCATCTATGTATCTACCTTCCCCGATGTGGACGGGTGGGTGAGAGAAGAGGCAGACGGCGAGAGCCCGTGGGCATTCTCGGGGCCCGCAGACGTGCGAGCTTGAGCGCGTGCATGCTGGATGGACGCCCTCACCAGGTGCTCAGTTCCACGGGCCGTATCTTTGCTCCCTCGTTCCCCAGTCGTCGAACCAATCGTCCGTGGCGGGAAAGAGTCGTGGACCCGGTAGGTCGCCAGTCCGTACTATACGAGGCAGTCGCAGAGCTGGGCGCTGGGTGAACACGACCTGACACTCCCAACGAGCTCGCTAGAGCTCAACACTTGTTTCAGTGTTGCCTCGAAAGATCCACAGATCAAAAGACAAAAGGCAGCAGAGGGGCGGGAAGAAACAAAGACTAAGATGGAGACACATGAACAAGGGAGGTGGAAATATGGAAAGAAGGGGAAAACTGAGGCACATGCAGGGAGAGAAATTTATGGAGGGAGAAGATTTCACGTCACTGATTGGTCGACCGCCCCACCCAAGGCAAAGAATGGACAAGCGAGCGAGCGCTGTTTGAAATTCCGACTGGAAGAACTGCAAACTTTCTCCTCGATCTAGACGGGGAGGACATGAAGGCGGACGGGGCGTAGGGGTAAACGCAAGCACAAATGGAAGAAACGGAGGATGGAGGCACGTTCGACTCTCCTCGCGCACCACCACTCCCCTCTGCCTACTGCCCTCCCTCCTCCCTTCCGTAGTACTCGTGAACGCTCACCACGGCGCAACCTTATGCCCCGTTGTCGCAGACAGACTCTTGCTCAGGATTGAACACAAGATTTTCCCGTTCGGGAAACAAGTTTCCTCTTTGGCGCACAACCAGCTTTGGTCGGCAACAACGTCGAGCGGGCGCGCCGAGGATCTCCACGGTACTGCTGCCTCCGGTTGTGGCGCCGCCTCAGCCTCCCGCACGACCACCGTCGGACCCGTCCCAGTCGCCGTCCCTTCCTCCCTCCAGAGAACCCTCGTCCCGGCCGCTCCCCCAGCCTCGCTCGCTCTGGGCATGTTCTTGCTGCCTATCTTGCCTGCTGAGCTCGTCAACGCAGAAAGTGCGGTTCACTCTCTGAGCGTGAAGAGCCGGCGCAGGGCGTTGACCTAGATCTCGTTTGTCATTGGCGAGGACTAAACACCCTACACCATCCCGCTCTCGGCTGTCAGCGTCCCGGCCAACCGCAAAACGCCAACCATACATCGTTGCATGTCTGTTCAGCGCGCGCTGGAGCGAATGCGTTCGTGCAGAGGCGCCGGCAAATTTCTTCCCCCGACCTCGTGTGAAACTAATGTTAGCGATTGTTACCTTTTTTTTTTTTTTTGGGGGGGGGCA